GCTCCTGGCCACCACAGCTTCGGAACTACAGGCGCACGCTACCACACCTGGTTAATTTTTTTTTTTTTGGTAGAGATAAGGTCTTGCCAAGTTGCCCAGGTTGGTCTCGACCTGTGGGCTCAGGCAATCCACTTGCCTTGGCCTCCCAAAGTGCTGGGATTACAGGCTGAGCCACTGAGCCCAGCCTAAATTTTTTTTTTTTTTGAGTCAGAGTCTCACTCTGTTATCCAGGCTGGAGTGCAGTGGCATGTGCATGACCACCGTAGCCTCGACCTGCTGGGCTCCGGTGATCCTTCCACCTCAGCCTTTCAAGTAGCTGGAACTATAGGCGTGCGCTACCACGTCCGACCAGTTTTTGTGATTTATTGTAGAGAAGAGGTCTCACCAAGTTGCCCAGGCTGATCTCAAACCCGCGGGCAGGCAGTCCTCTCACCTTGGCCTCCCAAATTGCTGGGATTGCAGGCTGAGCCACCACACCCAGCCATTAAAGTTTCTTACAAACCCTGGTCACACAGTACCAACAAGCCAAAGAATATAGTTTTTTAGCTTTCTCCAACTGTTATTTCTTCTTCTTCTTATCATCATCATTAAACAGATGCTCTGGTTACCACATACAGAAGTTTCAACTCTCTTGGTCAGGACTGAAATACTATTCTTTCTTTGGTGGCTTCTTGACAAATTTCACATTACCCTCTCATCTTTCCTTTATTCCACCTATGTTTTTTTTCTTTTCTTTTTTCTTTTTTTTTTGAGACACGCTCCCACTCTGTCACCCAGGCTGGAATGCAGTGGCGCTGCCTCAACCTCCTGGGGCTTAAGCAATTCTTGTGCCTCAGCTTCCTGAGCAGCTAGGACTACAGGTACATACCACCCACGCTGATAATTTTTGTTTGTTTGATTTTTAGTCAGAGTCTCACTCTATAGCCCAGGCTGGAGTGCAGTGGCATGCTCAAGGCTACTGTAGTCTTGACCTGCTAGGCTCAGGTGATCCTTCTGCCTTAGCCTACTGGGTAGCTGGGATTATAGGTGTACGCCACCATGCCTGGCTAATTTTTTAGATTTATTGTAAAGACAAGGTCTTATCATGTTGCCCAGGCTGGATATTTTTGTATTTTTTCGTAGAGACAAGCTCTTGCTATCTTGCCTAGGCTGGTCTCAAACTCCTGGGCTCAAGTGATTCTCCCGCCTCAGCCTCCCAAAGTGTTGGGAGCCACTGCACTCAGCCTCACCTATGTTTTTCTCATATCTCTTTCTTGTAGCACATTAACTAAATTCCTTTTGCTTTCCCAAGGTATTTCTTAGCTATCATGCAAATTCTCTTCAGACTCTTCTTTTGTCCTTCCTTAAAAGTTCCTTCTTGCCGGGTTCGGTGTCTCAGCCTTCCAAGTAGCCAGAATTATAGGCTGTAATTACTGTAATCCCACACCTTTGGGAGGCTGAGGTGAGTGGATTGCCTGAGCCTGTGGGTTTGAGACCCGCCTGGGCAACTTGACGAGACCTCATCTCTACAATAGATCAAAAATTAGTAGGGCGTGGTAGTGCGCGCCTGTAGTTCCTGCTACTTGGAAGGCTGAGTCTGAAAGGATCGCCGGAGCACAGCAGGTCGAGATTGCGGTGGCCGGAGAGGCCAATGCACTCCAGTCTGGGTAACAGAATGAGACTCCTACTCAAAAAAAAAAAAAAAAAAAAAGTTCCTTTTTTCCGGGCTCGGAGGCTCAGCCTGTAATCCCACGCCTTTGGGAGGCTGAGGTGAGTGGATTGCCTGAGCCCGCGGGTTCGAGACCCACCTGGGCAGCGAGACCTCATCTCTACAATAAATCAAAAAATCAGCTGGGCGTGGTAGCGTATGCCTGTAATTCCGGCTACTTAGAAGGCTGAGGCGGAAGGATCGCCGGAGCCCAGCAGGTCGAGGCTGCAGTGGCCGGGAGCGGCCACTGCACTCCAGTCTGGGTGACAGAGTAAGACCCCAACTCAAAAAAGAAAAAAAAAAGCTCCTTCTTGAATTACCTTTCCTTCTTCAAATAATTATTCCCAAGTTTGATCTTTTAACATATGGACAGGTCTCATGGTTGTTCCACATAAAAGGACACCACAATTCTAAAGACTGGCAATCACTGTCCTAGATTGATATTTCTTTTTCCCCTAGCATGGGACAATCTGAGGCTCTTTTCTGTGTTTGGAGTCTCTCTAGATACTTACACTACGGTCACAGGATAGGGCACTGAAAAGGTATTCAGGAAATATTTAAAAAAATAAAACAGCTAACAAGAGGTAGACTAAATCTCATGTCAACATTCTCCCATTCCCAATAATGAAACTACTTAATATAAAAGTTTTTCAAACTCTAGCATCAGAAATCCATATGCAGCTCTGGGCCATGACCTTTTCTTGCAGGGTGACATAAGGTTTAAAACTTTTGAGTTATCTAAATATACGGGCAGTTCATAAGAGGCAAGAGGGTTCCACAGAATGCTAAGAAGTAAGACAGAATTTAGATAAAATGGTCAGCCGGGCTCGGTGGCTCAGCCTGTAATCCCGCGCCTTTGGGAGGCTGAGGTGAGTGGATTGCCTAAGCCCGCGGGTTCGAGACCCGCCTGGGCAGCGAGACCTCATCTCTACAATAAATCAAAAAATTAGCCGGGCGTGGTAGCGCATGCCTGTAATTCCGGCTACTTGGAAGGCTGAGGCGGAAGGATCGCTGGAGCCCAGCCGGTCGAGGCTGTGGTGGCCGGGAGCAACCACTGCACTCCAGTCTGGGCGACAGAGTGAGACTCCAATTAAAAAAAAAAAAAAAAGGTCAGAAATGGTCAGAGGCAAAGGTGACAAAACCTGTTTTAAGAGATGTTCAAAGAAAGGGAGGTTGAAGCAACCAGAAACACTGCTTAGAATTATTATCTGACAGACAACGTGTGACAAGGACAAAAAAAAAATGCCAACTAACTTACCCAGAGAAGCTAAATACACTTCTGAATCCTGCAACGGAGCCCACGGCTTGACAGTTGGTTGGACAGCATAGTCTGCCATCTCCCTCTCACCTTCACCTTCAGGACAAGAATCCACAAAGGAGTCTGAGAAGGCATTGTTGGCACCATCTTCTTGGTCAGGATTTGGCAGACAGGAACAGATTTCAGCCCAGAGCTCCCGGCCAGATCTTGTGGCTGTAGAGTCAACATTCTCAAACATTTTCATTTGGAATCTAAGCTAGAAAACGGAAGCTCAGTGAGTGAGAACTGGCTTTAAGGAGACATTTATATATGCAGTACTCAGATATTTGTCAACCCACTGAAGAAAGGTAATGGACTATTAAGAAGTTTCTTTTACCACAACTATCAGATTCACATGTTACAGATAAAAAGGTGGCACAAGGGCAATTGGGTTTCTCTTCTGTTTCAGCAGTCAAGTTGTTCTCATAATAAAGTTTGTTTTTAAAAAGGAAAGTCCTAGCTCAGCGAAGTGGTGGCTCGTGCCTATAACCCCAGCAATTTGAGAGGCAGAGGTGAGAGGACTACCTGAGCCCAGGGGTGTGAGGCCAGCCTGGGCAACTTGGTGAGATCTTGTCTCTACAATACATAAAACAATTAGCCAGGGATGGTGGCATGCACTTTGGTTCCAGTTACTCGGAAGGATCGCCTAAGCCCAACAGGTCAAGGCTGCAGTAGCTGTGATTGTGCCACTGCACTCTAGCCTGGGCAACAGTGTGAGATTCTGACTCAAAAAAAAGAAAGGAAGGAAGGGAGGGAGGGAGGATAGGAGGGAGGGAGGAAGGGAGGATTTCCTAGAACCCAGACACAAAAGAACAAATACTGTATGATTTCACTTGAGGTACTTAGAGTAGTCAAACTCATAGATACAGAAAAGAGAATGGTGGTAGCCAAGGGCTAGTGAGATGGGGAAATGAGGAGTTATTGTTTAATGGCTACAAAGTTTCAGTTTGGGAAGATGAAAAAATTCTGGAGATGGATAATGGTTATAGTTGTACAATGTGAACTACTGAACTGTACACACAAAAATGGTTAAAATGATCAATTTTATGCTACATGTATTTTACCATACACACAAAGGAATTTCTAGGACATTTCCTATGTGGACAACCAGCCTCAAAGATCTCCAAAATGCAATCGCTCTATCCTTGGCCAATTAAATTCTGTCTTCAGCTGGGCACGGAGGCTCATGTCTGCTGCAATCCCAGCACTTTGGGAGGCAGAGGCGAGAGGATTGCCTGAGCCCACGGGTTCAAGATCAGTCTGGGCAATTTGGCAAGACCTCATCTCTACAATAAATAAATAAATTAATTAAAAAAATAAACTTAGCCAGGTGTGGTGGCATGTGCTTATAATTCCAGCTACTTGGAAGTCTGAGGTGGAAGGGCCACCCGAGCCCTGCAGGCCAGGGCTGCGGTGGCAGTGAGCTGCCATTGCACTCTAGCCTGGGGGACAGAGTGAGACTCCTATTCAAATAAATAAATAAATTCTGTTTTCAATAGAAAACTTTCTTTTTTTCAATAAAGACTTTTTTTTGGTCTTTCACAAATCCATATACATGAAGACAGTAAAAGTGCTGCTTTGTGAAAAGTGTCTGTCACAGAGTACTGTCATAATGCAAGGGCCATGTGCTTATTGCATGCAGAAGTTGGACTCTATGCCACATGCTCCTATTTTAACAGAAACACTGAAAGATAGGTATGTTCAACATTTTGCAGATGAAGAAACAGGCTCAGAAAGGTAACTTTTATGCACATTACTGTTACATGTGTATGGTGAATCCCTGACTGGAAACCAGACCTGTTTTTAGCTCCAGAATCCATGTTTTTACCCAATACCATTCCGCCTGTTTGAAAAATACACGGAAAGCAGCCTAAGCAGGAATAGGTAGGAAGGGCTACCCAAAGAGCCTGGGGCTTTCATAACTATCTAGGCTTACAATATAGGTTGACATCTCCTTTCAAGAGGGGCCTTAGAGATCAAGAAGACTGCCTGAGGCAAGGCCTGAATAATTCTGGGAGATCCAGGCCAGACAGCGCAAAGGCCCGGAAGGAAAAGGGACACGTTACAGCGGCTCTGGGTGAATTGATATCTAGGGCTACAATGAACCCCCCACCCGAAAGCCTCCGGGCCCACCCAAAGCAAAACTTTGCTCTCATCGGAGTCCAGCGTCCCCTCGACCCCAGGGCGTCCAGAACCGCGCACCCTGGTGTCCAGATCCCAGGCCTCAGTCGCTCCTGTCACCAGGACAGGCTGGGCGGGATGAATCAAGTCCTAAGGCCTCTTTGTAGTATTCCGGGGCCGGACCAGGGTGGCGGGGAGGTACCCTAGCCCCCTTCTCACTTACCGCAATAGCCAGCTCAGCAGCCTGCAAACGCTCAGCTCCGCTCTGTCGCCGGCTGCCAGAAGGAAATCAGGAGGGGCGGAGACTCCGAGTGACGGAGCCAAGGAGTCCCCAATTGGCGTCCGACCCGGCGATGTTCTGTGCGTCGATTGGTCGAATGGAGCTTAGCGGGGCGAGGAAGTGAGGAGCGGAGAGAGAGGAAGCGGTGGGCGGGGCCGTGGTTGCCGGGAAACGGTGGAGTGACGTGCCCAGGGCCCTGCCCCTTTCCTCCCAGGGACCGAGTTGATTGTTTGTAGATCCGGGGTCCCAGCTCTCCGGTCACCCACCTGCTGCTTGAAGGGGGAAGCTCAGTTTCCCAGACCTTTGACTTTTCTTGGTCCCCAGAACAAGCTCACCTCCTCGGCTATTCGGTCTGCCGGTGTCCAAAAATTTTACCCCTTCGCTACCCAAGTTAGAGCACTTCAGTGGTTTCTTTCCTCTCACAGGAGACCTGTGTCCCACTCATCAAGACATGAAGCTTTCCTTCATTCATTTAGTCAGTAGATACCAAGCTCCTGCTGTCTTCTAGGTACGGTATTGTGTTAAGAGTGAAGTCAAGACTTATAAGACTTGGTATAGTTCCCAGGGATCCTTACAGCTTTTGGGTAGGAGGGGTTCAGTCATGGAGGCAGGCAAGTTTACAAATTACAGCAGCGTTATAAAGGATAGAAGTGTGGCCAGAGTACCTAAAGGAGAGAGTGGTCATGAGAAGTGTGTGGGTCAGAAATGAAGTTATTTTGTTTGTATGTTTTAAAGGAGGTGACCTTCAATATCCTTCAGGGGTTATCAGAATGTTCACTGTCTCCCAAGAAACATCTGATGAAAGACATCAGCCATACATTAGTAGAAGAAATTTGGATGAGAGACTAGCCTTCTAGATGTATCCACTCCAATCAATATGGCTATAGTAGTAAAATATGTGAAAATACCACTACAAGGTACTCTGTTGCTCACATTTATAACCATTCTCAGAGAGAATATGCTAACAGAAGGAAATGGAAAGCAAGAAGGTTAGAAAGCCAAGGAGCAAATAATAGGCAAGATTTTGTCAGTGCTTATCCATAAGGAGAGAGACGTGAACCTGGTCATATCTGACTTACGGAAAGGAGCACTATCCTAGGTTTATGAGTGCTTCATCAAGCTATTCCATGGCCTCATGAGTCATTTAAGCTGTTTTCTCTGATTTCATGCTCACCAAACCATTGATTTCAACTTTAGCTTTTTAGAGATCTTGATACCAGGATGAGGGTGCCTTTTATAGTGGGCACAAATAGCCCAGTCACTGGAAAATTACATTTATTTATTGAGTTGGAGTCTCTGTTGCCCAGGCTGGAGTGCAGTGGCATGCTCACGGTCACTGCAGCTTCCACCTGCTGGGTTCGGGCGATCCCTCTGCCTCAGCATTCCAAATAGCCGGAACTACAGGTGCGCACTACCGCACCTGGCTAATTTTTAAAATTTATTGTAGAGATGAGGTCTTGCCAAGTTGCCTGGGCTGGTCTCAAACTCGCAAGCTCAGGCAATCCACTCACCTCAGCCTCCCAAAGTGTTGGGATTACAGGTTGAGCCACCGAGTCCGGCCACATTTTATAATTTAAACTTAAAGTTGTATATTAACAAATTGGCACCCTATCAGTTCACCCATGTTTTCTGAATCTGATTAATGTGTGCACAGAACAAATCCAAATCAGATCCTGGGCTGGGAAAGCTGAAACCATAAGCCAAAGTGAAATCATAAGCTCACCAAGGACTGCTCATATTGGGAAGCCATGTGAGGCCAGTCAGCGACTCTTTATCTTGGACTCTCTTCTTTACTATATGTGATTAGCACTAATATGATTTCTAATAGGTCTTCATTGAGATAAGGAATTATGTCCTCTTTTCCCTATCTTTTATGTCTTTCTCCAGCATCTCCAGAACCAAGTCTAGCAAATTCTCAAAAAATTTTTGGTATGTGAATATTTGAACTAGAACATTTGTGATGAGCTAACCTGTAATTTCCTCTTCAGTCCTTTCTCCATGTTGCAACCAATATGATCCTTTTGGAATGAAAATAAGATTTTATATAGACACACACACTCACATACTCATACACATGTGTATATGTATGTTGTATATATTTGTGTGTGTATATATATACTTTCTCTCTCACAAACACATACACATCCCCAAAAACTCTTCAATTATTTTCTATTGCTCTTAAAATAAAGGCTTATATCTTTATCATAGTAAATTAGTTGGATTTCTTAGTTCAAATAACAGAACTAATTCCAGCTTAAGCAGTAAAAGAAATTGGTTAAAGCAGCTCTGTTCAATAGAATTTTCTGTGATGATTGAAATGTTCTATATCTGAGCTGTCCAATAAGATAGCCACTACCTTCATGTGACTATTAAGGACTTGAAATGTAATTTGTGTAACTGAGGAACTGAATTATTATTATTATTTTTTTTGAGTTGGATTCTCACTCTGCTGCCCAGACTGGAGTGCAGTGGCACGCTCCTGGTCACCGCAGCCTCGACCTGCTGGACTCCGGTGATTCTTTTGCCTCAGCCTTCCAAGTAGCCGGAACTACAGGCGCGCGCTACCACACCTGGTTTATTTGTTTATTTATTTATTGTAGAGACGAGGTCTCACCAGGTTGCCCAGGCGGGTCTCGAACCCTTGGGTTCAGGCAATCCACTCGTCTCGGCTTCCCAAAGTGCTGGAATTATAGGCTGAGCCACCGAGCCCAACTGGAACTGAATTTTAAATGTTATTTTTTATTTTTATTTTTTTGAGTTGGAGTCTCACTCTGTCACCCAGACTGGGGTGCAGTGGCACACTCACAGCCACTCCAGCGTCGACCTGCTGGGCTCTGGCAATCCTTCCGCCTCAGCCTTCCATGTTGCCTCAACTACAGGCATGTGCTACCACACCCGGCTAATTTTTTGATTTATTGTACAGACGAGGTCTTACCAAATTGTCCAGGCTGGTCTCAAACCCCTGGACTCAGACAATCCTCTCGCCTGATTGTGGGATACATTAGAAGCAAACTGCTTCAAAGGAGAGATGCCATTTCACAAGTGAGTTGCCATATTAAGATATTCACAAGCCGGGCTCGGTGGCTCAGCCTGTAATCCCGTGTCTTTGGGAGGCTGAGGTGAGT